TAGAATAGAATAGAATAGAATAGAATAGAATAGAATAGAATAGAATACTTTATTGGCCAAATGTGATTGGACACACAAGGAATTTGTCTTGGTGTAAATACTCTCAGTATACATAAAAGAACAGATACATTCATTAAGAATCAATCTCCAATATTAGATTCCTCAGCAACCTTTATAGGTTACTTGCTTCTGCACATAAGAGAGCAGGCATGTGAGCAAATATTGCTATTCAATCTTTAGCATTTATTCAGCCCATTTCAAGCATTCCCAATATTTCTACAATAACCCTTCAAGGCAGACCTTATAACTTAAATTATAGGGATAAAAAAAACCTGAGGCTGGAAATTGAGGCTTTCAAAAGGACATTTGCTAAGTTTAGGGCTGAGATAAAAACCACTGTCATTTTGATCCCAGCTGATACACTTAATCCTTGCACTACTACATCTCCATTTTATCTTCTGTTACATCCACTATTTCTAAGCCCATGAAAATACAAATAGGTATGACAAGCTTTTGTAAGTTGATGAATTGCAGCATTTTTCTCTGAAAATCGAAAACATGGATGTACTTTAAATTTAAGAAAAGGAATGACCCTTTGAGCTCTTTCCTATTAGCCTGTAGGGAACTGTGGTATTATTCATTATTTCTGTGATGATACTGTCTGTTCGATACCTCTGTGTAAAGAGAAACTGAAGTGTATAGCCAATAGGACTCCTATTCTGCAGCCTTTCTCTATTCCTGGGAACACACAAGGTCTCTTATTGGACAGTCCGTGTGGAACAGGGTCAATGGCAGCTTATAAGCCACGGTGGCACAGTGGTGAGAGTGCAGTACTGCAGGCTACTTCTGCTGACTGCCGGCTGACTGCAATTTGGCACTTCAAATCTCACCAGGGCTCAAGGTTGACTCAGGCTTCTATCCTTCTGAGGTGGGTAAAATGAAAACCCAAATTGTTGGAGGCAAGATGCTGACTCTGAAAACAGCTTAGGGAGGGCTGTAAAGCACTGTAAAGCGATATATAAGTCTAAGTGCTATTGCTATTATTTCATCAGCTTCATAAATTCCTTCCCACACCTCTTCGGTCTCTAGTCTGTGCTACCAAAGAGAATTCCTTCAGGTCCTGTATAGCTGCGGATATAACCTCTTTTCCTTTTGTTCTCTTCCCACCTAGTGTCCTTTCCTCCAGACGCTACTACTTTGAGCTCCTCCATAAGCAAGATGACCGTGGATCAGATCATGTGGAAGTGGGTGTAAGTAAATCCCTACAGATTATTTTCCCCATCAGGTACAACAATCTATTAAGAAAATCAAATAGCTTTAAAAAATAGCAATAACTCTGACTTCCAGCTTTTTGTTTATTGACCCAAAATATTGTCATTGAATACATATTTATATCCTACAAAACTGCCCTGGCCCCCAAAGCATTTCTGGCAGAATATTAACAGGACTTTCATTAATGAAGGCTATCGGAGGTACGAGTTGAAAAACAACCTGTCCATGTTTATCTGATCAATGTTTATCAGATAAGACAAGCGTAAGGAAGTATTTTTATCCCTTAACTCCCTTAATTGGGTCTATAGTAAAACAAAGTATAAGGGAGAAAGAGATGAGTCCCATCTTCTCATGCTTGTAATGGAGATCAGGAAGGGTCCCCCCCACCTCCTTCAATTGCAGTCTTCTCTGGGGGAAATGGAGAGAGTGAGAAAGAGTTCCTAGCTGCTAATTTCTTAAACACTTTTTTTCGCAAGATAAAATGTCTAAAAAAAAAAAACAGGCTTATTTTCTTGCCTCTTAATCGAGCTGTATTCCTTTTGTATAAGGCTTCACTGCATTGCAGGCTGCTGAAGGTGAAATATTAGTCTTTTTAAAAAGAGGCTCCATGTCTAAATTAAAAAGAAGAATAGGCACTCAGTGTAAATGCTCTTCCCTCCCAGGGATTGCCTGTACCTACTGTGAAGTCTTTCTCAAAGGATTTTGGATCATCCTGGAAGGTGTTACACCCAGAGAACAGGCAATGGGGAAGATGCTCCATGGGATTATCTTTGGTTTAACATCATATATACCATCCTTTGGCTGCTCCAAAAGCTGAAAAGCACCTGGGCCTGTAAAACTATTGTGAGGTGACTTGCCTGGATCAATGTTAAATTTGATGAATGCCCTATCTAAAAGCAAGCGTGTAAAACAAGCAGATAAACTCGGACACATTAATGCTTTTGATACTTTTCCACAGCATCCAAATTATTCTCAAGGTGTCCTCCCAGGATTAAACATAGCCACATGAAATATTGAACCTATAAGAGCAGGAAAGGGAAATAGATTTTTTGAAAGGAAGAACTCAAAATAACTGGAACTGCTTTGTGTTCAGATATTTCAAATGGAAGCATCACAAGCAGGACAATAACTCTCAGTCCAGCTCTAGGAATATTATCAGTGACCTTCAATACCAGTTCTCTGAATAATCCAGGTTCTATTTCTCATGTATGAACTCTATTTAGGGGATTCTCGGACACATATTATTTTAAGGTATTCCCTAGAGGGAGTTGAAATTTTGTTGAAATGATGCTGCCCTTACCCTAAAGGCAGTGTTATTCTGAAACCATTTGCCATATCCAGAACAGTTTTGCGATTGTTTGTCATTTGTTTTGTTTTTAAAAAGTGAACGAATAATATTGAAACCATAAAATTGTAGGCAGCTGTCGTACCCACTTTCCTATATTAATATTCGTATTGCTATTTAGAATACTATATGTAATATTTGCATTTTGAAATACAAAAGATGAGTTTTTATGACAGGCAGAAGATGGGAAACAATTACTTTTTTAGTACATTTATAGAAACACTTAGCTTACATTCTTTGAAAGGAAATAACACATTCAACAAAAGGATAAAAGATTTGACTGCAAGTCAAAAAGCACTGAGACATCACCCAAGAAAATAGTATTGCTTTTTCTTATAATGCTTGGGTCATTTCTCTCTTTAAAAATCTTTAAATTTGGGGGTAGGAAGAAGATCCATGTTTGGCTCTGGAGATATAGATTTATGCCAATGCTCATATGCCATAACGCTCCTGTGAAATTGGATTTGCACTTGTTTTTAGTGAAGAATTGCAGCCATTATATTATCTGATGTTCCTTTCATAATATAGTACCATGGAGACAAACATTAGGTTAGATGATTGAAACATTCATGAGTTCTGAAATGGAATGTATACATTTGTGTGTGTGTGAGTGTTCCCTTACATTAGTTACTAAGTAGTTGATCTTATTTTGTTGTTGGCTTGAAAGAAATATAAACCAGTCCTGGATCCCTAGGAAAACTGTAGTTTTAGAATTGCTGACTCTTAATTATATTAATGTTGTACGTTTGGATAGATATTTACATTTGGTACAATTGTATTCACATCTAATCAATTTTATTCACCTCTGGTCATGTTTGCATTATATTTTATGTATTGTACGTATGTGATATAAATACATAGTTTCAGCGGTAAACTTTATTACTTATGAATATAAATGCATGCAAATTGAAGGACTTCTTCTGTTTCTTTCAGTGGCGAATTTTCCTTCCCAGCTTCAAGTTTGAAGTCATTGATTCCCCATACATCTCACTCTATACAGGTAAAGATTCTCTGAAGCCCTAGAAAACCAATTCCCTCTGTGTACTAATAAATAGGATTGCAGTGTTTATGGTTAATGAGGACAGTATGCAAAAAAAGTGAAAGCCCATCTATATGTACTGCCTAAAAGACCTTGTATTCTGATTTTTTTTTCTTGTATTGTACCCTTGTATGCCAATTTTGTGGTATATAGCATCATTGTGATAAGTGGGAGGATCATCTTTTCAGTATAATTAGTGTTAAGAAATGTTGATCAGCACAGGATAGACAAAATCCCAGAGAAACTATGAATAAGGATCCCTTTTTTTATGCAGATCTTCCATCAGTCAATAGAGAAGAAGGCATAAAAACTCTGAACATTGTTTAGCAGTCTAAGGATCATCTTTCAACTTTATTGGATTTATTATTTTTATACGTCATTTAAAGCCTGCCCTATGTGTTCAAGCTTTGTTGATTAAATATTGTGATTTTTCCCCCAAATTACATTATATTTTGTTACTTTCTAAAACTGCTAGTCAGTTTGATTAATTTTGTTGTTTGCTGTTTGTGTTATTGCTTGATTTTGTTAGTTTATTTTTCTCCAATCTTTTATCATTTTTAATTGTGTAACCGCTGTGTTTTTATTACTATTTCATAATGCTGCTCTTTATGGAATATGTAAATTGCAAGAGAGGCCTCAAGGTGGAATAGAAATCTTCTAGTAAATTAATTGAATAAATTTTTCCTGAACTTTTTCCTTCATAGTCATTTTTCTCAAAACTTTATCAGCTCTGTTATTAATACGGTGTGAAATGTTGACTTCCCTTCTCTGCTGAGATATCAGCTTGCACTGTAGCCCTTTTTCCAGTCAGCCTTCTAAAATTACATCTTTGAAAAGCCCTTCTACAAATTAGTTCTAGAGAAGGAAAAAGTGGTTGATTGTCTTTCCTACAAACTTTAGATGATGAGACTAACTCCCTTATGGGTAACTGGACAAACAAAAATGGGATGGAAAGATATTTCACTTTTCCTTTTGTAAGACAAAGGCAAAATATTAATTTGAAGGGTATACATTATCTAAAGTTATTTAATTAACCTTGCGTTCAATCAGTCTTCAATTTCTTTTGATAAACCTCTGATAATATCTTCTGAACCTAGTATAAAATAGTTGGACCACTGCTCCCTGTGTGGGGATTAAATTGAGGATTTCTGAGGTCAGAAGCTGAGAAACCAAAGGCACATAGTTGTCAAACTGCAGGAAGGGCAGGAGAAAAGTGCTGGAATTAAACCACAGTGGGTATGATAGGAACTGCACCTTCATGTTAATTGAGGGCAATCAACTGTTCTAATAATGTCTTTCTAATATGCAGCGGAGACTAATATCTAACCATGCCGTGTCATGTGTCTGAGACTCTTTCGCTGAGTCTAATTCACATTAAGCTGCGTCAACTCAAATGTCTAGAATCACTGCTGGTCTCTTGTCTATGAATCTGGCAGCATGCTTATGAAGCTGTGAGTACGCTCCATAAAATAATACCAGATGGATCAAGCATTTGAGCTATGAAAGGCATTTACTTGCTGTCTTTCACAAATAAAAAGGCACTGTAAAACAACATGAAACGTTGATGCTTCACATAAAAGGAAAAGTGTGTACGTGCAATATCTCTTGGGGAGCAGTATATATAAATAAAATACTTTCTAGGCGTATCAAAAGCTTCTAGGCACTTCTTTGGTCCCTGGGCAAAAAGAGAAGAGGCTAGCATGAAAGCCCCTCCCCACTTCCGAGCAAATGTCCATCAGATTATGCTTCCTAAACTGAATTATGAACAGCTGTCTTGTAAGCAAGGATGGATAGTGCCAGTTTTAATTAAATCCATAGATCTTCCACTTCCTGCTCATAACTTGGTCTGGCAGCAGGAGGTGCTTGACGAATAGATTTCTGCCTGGCACTCAATACACAAGGTGCCTGTAATTAAGTATCCAGCAGAAGGTATAGATAAAGCAGAGGGCTTGTGTAAGAAGTACAGGGGCATTACTGGTGCACAAGAGATCATGGCAATTGGGGTATTGACAGAAGTGCCTGCAAGATAGATGGGCTGTGAGGGAAGGTTTTCTTCTGGAGACATCAGTCACTGAGAATTTTCACCTCTGTCCTCTGGTCTATGGCTACCACTCAATGAAAAGTTATTTTCTTGGTAACTCATTCTTTGCCTGAAATCCCTTCCTTTGTCAAAAGAAAAAAAAAAGTTAATAAAACAGGAATGGTTGCATATGGACCTATAAGAGATGGGGCGGAAAAGAGTAACATATTATCATTTAATATTTAATATATTTTTAACCATTACACAGATTATCACTGACATAATTTTTGCATTTGATCATTCTTCAGCTGTGTCCAGGGATGACTAAAATAAGGTTTTGTGTAGATGTATTCCGTACAGGGAATTCATGCAATTCTCACTGCAGATTTTATTGTATTTGTATTGCGTTTTTCAAAATTTATGAAGCAGTTTAGGGCTAACAACAGCAATAATGCAAAAATTAAGCCCAATTGCAAAACTGGAATCAACAACTCGCATTAAAATCAACAAGCAGCATATCAGTCAGTAACTTCAAAGGCAATTAGAACAAATGGGAGGTTATATTTCCCAAAGCAGACTATAATAAGGAAGGCTGTACCTCATTACTCTATATTATTAGAGAAGTGCCTATCTAATAAACTTTTCCAGTCTATCTCATAGTATGGAGAAGGGCAAGGATCTTGCTACCTAAAAACCAGATTAGTAACAATACAATTCTTGATAGACCAGTATCACTTCCTGCCTTTAGGTTGTCTTAGTTGAAAGTAATAGTAACTTTCAAGGAAGGCAAATCTCATGTAGGAGATTTGCTTTGGAAAACCCCAAAGCATTTAATAACAATAGCTATGTTTAATTATGTAATTTAGCTTCCACATACAGACAAGTGGATGAATACTGTGGATGTTATCACAGACTTCGCTGCTATTCAGCATCTGGAATTACTCTCCTTGAGGGTGGAGTATGACCACAGATAGCCGTCATCTCCTTCTACTCTGCCCATCTCCTCAAGCAACTTCTGTCTGGCTATTTATCCCTGTCTGTTTTTCCTTTTGCAGCATTACCTGTTTAACCTTCTTAGTCTGTCTATTTGTTTTCCCCGATCATTTTTTCTTAAAAAATAATGCTTGCTAAAAGAAAAAAAAACCAAAAGTTGAATTTTAGCACTCATTATTATTTGCAAAGCTTTGATCAAAAAGAGTCTATAAACACTTTAGAAAGAAAACAGTCAGCAAGCATGTATGGAAAAAGGCAAGACAACATGACAAAACTATGTTGTAGTTAATATGTACCAGCTATTCAAGAGAGATGGGAAAGTTAGTGAAGCAATTGAAGTGCAGACTAAGTGACGGGCTTTGTTCGGGTATTTTCCCACGTCATAATAGTGGTGCTTTTAAAGTTGTAGCAACGTTTCAGCAGAATCT